AGCCTCAGAAGCTCTGAGGAAAAGTTAATTATCAAAGTGTAATGAACAAAGTGCAATATAAGCCAGCCCCAAGATGTCTGCTGATGAGACATCTTTAAGAATGATGCTATGAAGCTACTATACAATACTATCAAAGTAAAGCATTTACAGAACAGGGTGGTTTCACCATGGAAAGGGCAGTTCCACTCTCCTGAAAATTTCTCTTCTTTGTTTGTCAGCCTATGTTGTTTCCATCAGACTGCAATGACTTTTAAATGGCATTTCTGCGGGCATTTTGAGCGAGCCCTTTCAGACAGGGTTTCTAAGTGAGCTAAGTGCAATTCCGTTTTCCCATTCTGCAGCTGCCCATGCGCAGAGGCCGGCTGCCCACCGTACACACTACTCAGGTACGTTAAACTCATGCCATTAACTTGGGATCACTTATCTTTTGCCTAACATCCTTACTGTACTGAGGACTTCCAGGAACTTGGACTGTACTGAAACACTGAGGTTGCAGAACAAAATGCACAACATGGTAAATCCTAACCGTTCCACAAAATCCAACCCAATGCTGACAAAACAGATTATGCTTTGAAACAGTGGCATGAAGCAATTCTCTGGTGCAGCCACCAGAGACCTAGCAGTGATTATGAAATCTAATCCGATTACTCCGCTATTTCTTAACTTCAGCCTTCAAAAATGAAGCCATCATGACTTTGTTACAGTTGCATACGTGGTCACAGCAAAATCTAATTTGAAAAACGCTAAATGTAATTACTACATTCTACTAATTTCCTAAATTTTTGTAAATAAATCTGGATGTTCAAACTGGATTCAGAGTTCATTTACGTGGGAGAGGGAAGGAAAAGGACTACAACACCTTGAGTGTACAGGTCCCACATGTTCCTCTACCTTATCTGAATTAGATTAAGAGAGGCCTTCTTGTGCTCTACTGAATTTCCAGCAGTTGCTTAGACATCCTGATGCAGTCAGATAGCCACTTGAATTTTTTCTTCAATAGTGGAAAGAGACAAAATAATGAAGCTTAAAGGACTGTAGGAAATGATGGGGTAACTTTCCAAACCCTGAAAATTGGTGTTATTCCATTCACTTATCTCAGTGCAGAAGATAGATTAACAATACGATCTAGCAGTTGAAAAGGATGTTTCAGAGAGCAAATGTAACTCTAATATTCACATAATGAAGCCTTTTGGTTTCTTTTTTTTTTTTCTTTCAAAGAGACACAACGTAAATTTCCACTTAGAAAAGAAATTCCCTCTTCTAATGTTGTTTTTTTTTTTTTAATGTCTGTTTTTGATGACACTATGTTAGAAGGTAACAATCATGCCTTTAGTTAATAATTTTTTTCTCTCGTCTGGCTGCAGCAGACCTCTCATGCCCCATGGGAAGTGAAAGTTTTGATTTCATTGATGCTGGGCTACTTCTCTTTGTTTTAAGTGGCAGAGCAGCATGCTTTAGATGAGGACATCCTGACAATGGGGAAAAAAGAACAAAAGAAAAATAACAATTCTTTGAATAGTCACACAGTATCAGGGAAAAAATCAGTAGCAAAAGACCAACAGCTATGGTGATGGTTTGACCACACTAAATCAGGCTTCCAGTACCGGATTGAAAAATCTGTGGCCGTGTGCTGCACAGCTGTGGAGCAGTGTGTGAATTGTGTCTATCAGTACCAACATGCTCAGAAACTCCAATAAAACAGATTTTATACAGGATCAGGTATTGTCTTTCCTTCAGCAAATGCCATAAAGTTAGCACAAAAGACAACAAAAACTTCATGGCATATCTTATGGCTAATTTCACAGAAATGTAACTCTGTGCCCAGGTTAAAACCGCACTGGTGATTGAACAGGCAAGGTGCAGCTCTGCTACCACAAACCGTGAAACCAAAGCTGGACTGACAAGTGACTGCTTACGGCCACAATGACATGAAAGGATGTGAAGGGAGGTGCGCTTGCTGTGACGGTCACAGCACCTTCTGGCAGCAGGCAAAGCGACGCTGCTGCCTTCCACAACAAAACCCTGCCTCTAGCGGAGCTCCTCCTTGCCTACCAAGTCTTGACAAAAGTTAGGCAGTTGATATACTGATACTAATATAATGCAAATATTGCCTCATTAGTGCTTCTACTCTCCCAACAGTGACTCCCCCTATTCTGCTTTTTGTCATAGGTGGACATACTTTGGACAGAGAGTAGGCTTCCTGTATATGCTGGTGCAGCACTTTGCACAGCCAAGTTTGGTCAATCTAGATAGTATGGCAGTTAAGAGATCAATAAAAACTGTAATTCAATAAAATGCATTATCTAATGCCAAACACTTTGAATAAATAATTACAGCAATGAATTAAAATAAATACTGGTATAAACTTGTTCCTTGCTGAGAAACAAGGAAATCACATACTCTAAAATCACATTTCAAACTGGAAACAAGGAAGTGAAATAAAAGATAGTTGAAGATGTCAGAAACTGTAGAGGAGCAATGCCTGTATCAGTAAGATTGCAAGAGAGATCTATGGGAGTTACATATTAAAGAGGAGGAAAGATCACTCAAAATGAGAAAATCTTAAAGATACTTCTATTATGTAACAAATTGACCATAATCTTTTATGATCAGTGCTTTATTGTCATTTGTACTGAAGCATTAGAAATCATTACAGCTGCTATTCATAATCTGTATGGCACTGGCATTTTCACTTTCAGGTTAGGGCACTGTGTATGTAGTAATGAAAGGTCCGGCCTTCACATGCATCCTTCATTCCTGCAGCTATTCAATTTTTTCTTTTCCTTAATGCTTTTCAAAAAGCAGATCATCAGATAAATTTTGGTGATTAAATGTTAAATGCTTCAGGAGCATCTTGTTGTAGAGAGCTATCTAAGTTTTTATTAATAATGCATAACATTCACATAGGGCTATTTTGTGTCGGAAGTCCTTCACAGACGTTATCTTAGCTCTAAGTAGTCCAGCCAATAAAGAAAAAGAAATTAAGAAGAGGAAGATGCATTCAGAAATTAGATAAAGCTCTTGAATTCTGAAGAATATTGTACTTTCAAGCACTATATTATATACTGTTCTCGGTTCAGTATTATTGGCTTTATTATTGTTCCTTAAGAAAAACACATTCATTCAAAGAGTAAATGGTACTTTTCTTTCAGATGCCTGAGCAATATTATTTTTGTTTTTAAGTCTTATCTGCTTTTTTGGAATGAGACTATCTGATCCAATCTAAGAGCATCTCTATTCTTTATTATGGAACAGATTGCTATTGCTATGTTTTAAATAATTAAAGATTGACGGAGACAGTTTTAAGAAATAAATGTTCCAACAAAACAAGATTCATTCAATTCCTCTTTAAGAAAAGTTTCAGTGGTCAGTGGCTTGAGTTTTGTAGGTTTTATTATTATTATTATTGTTATATCTGCAAGGTTAGACGATGGATACTGAGCTGCAGAGACTAATGCAGAATGATTTTTACTTACTGACTCTGGAATAGAAAATTGGTTGGTCAGATGCCAAAGACATATCCATGTGCCACTGAAGCAGTATAAGTGATGGCAAATGTGATTTTGTAATGATTTGGACGGGCGGCCAAAGAGGCTACTCTTCTTAAGCTACCACGCACATGGCACAGTAATTCAGAGAGTAGCAATCCCGACGTGTAAGCTGTTTGGCTATAGTGTCCCCACACATTATTTAATACATTTAAGATGTAGACTCATAGGAGGAGAAATTGAGTCAGAATTGTTGCCAGCCAGTTAACCTCTTGCTTCTGTTAAATTGCATTAGTTATTAAAAAGTCCTGCCATGAATATATACCAGATATCTAGAACATTTAAAATTCGAAGGTTCACCCCTCTTTGTTTTTTTAAAGGATATATTTATTTATTGTGCTAAAATCAGTAAGATATGACTTTAAAAATCTATTCTATTTAAAGCTCTGTCCAGCCTTTCAAAATCATATTGTTAATTTTCATGTAATACATCTAAATATTTATGCTGGTTAACTTAATAATGTATTTACACTGTTATACCCTTCATTTTTCCCCCTTTTGTGTCACTAGAAGTACATAATTTGTTTTACATTTTCCTTGGGACAAAGAATCACCAATATAAGTCTCGCTGAGAAGTTACAAAGCAAATGTACGCTGCACGTACATTTAAGATAAAACTTAAGATAAAACTTAAATTACACTTAAGCAGAAATTCTTCCTTGATAAATGCAAAAATATTGCAAAACAGAGGGGGGGAAGGCACGTTTGAAAAGGGGAGAAGAAAATTACCCTGCAGACACAAATCACGCATAAAATGCTGAACAGTTGCATTCTTCTCTCCACACAGAAAACGAAGTCGTAATTGCAGTGCAGTCGGACGCACCAATGTGAGTTTTAGTCTAGATACCATGGGTAACAACAGCAGTAAAAATACGATGCCGCTCTCTTCAATATCAGTTATTCCCCCCCAGAAAACGCCCACACTTGCAGAGCTTCGTTTTCCGTACCAGTCAGATTAAAGTTCACTCGGGGATACGACGCGCCCAGGCGCTGCGTTCAGGCCAGCCCCAGCCCACCGCCTCCGCAGCGCTGCCATGCGCTGCGCTGCAGCAAAAAAAAAAAGTGAAAATTTACCAGTTTTATCACTGTCCTCTCCTGCTCCTTCAAAGCTGTGGGTAACAGTCAGGACTGAAGAGAAGGACAGTAAAACATCTCTCTGCTCTTTAGGAAAATGGTGAGGGGGAGGAGGGAAGCTGTTCATGGAGGAGGCGAATACATAACTCACCATATAGCTGCAGCCAGAAGGTGGTAGGAGGGAAGATGGATATTGGTATTCGGAAAAAAGAAGAAAGGAGCGACTTCATGCGACTTGCTAAATTAATTTTATAGGTATTTTCTAAATAATTTATTTATTATGCTTGTATTTTTTCAGCTAGATTTACATCCCCTGTGGCTTGACAGGGCGCTTCTGTTTCCCCGGAGAGCGCTGAGCCCCCCTGCAGACGGCCGGACCCGCCAGAGCTCCAGCGCCCTGCACAGAGGGGCTCGAGGCCGGCGGCGCTGGGGAGGGAGCGCGCCATGCCCTGGCACAGAGACCGCCCCGGGAAGGCCGCAGCCTCTGCTCCCGGCATAGTCGCTCTACCCCATCGAGCAATTATTTGACACAAAACCCGTAAGCAGGCAGAGTGGCCTCACGCCAGCGCTCTCTAAGCACCAGCCGTTATACCACAGGGGTGAGGGCGCACCACTGCTGCTGCCTCTGGCCGCAGCTCTGAATCAACCTGTCAATAACCATCTCCTCTGGCAGAAGCCAGCGCTGTCAGCGTGGGCTGCGCTCGCTGCCGGCAGGTTTCTGGGACGGAGCGCAGAGACGCTTGCCTGTGAATTGCAAACGGGCCGAGGTGAGAGACCGCAGCTGAGAGGCCCAGTCCAGCCAGCACAGCCAACCTCCCCCCGCACCCGGCCTAACAGCACTTTGGTGGCGAGATTCACCTCGAGCTGTCTAATGGCATGAGGTACCACAGCTTAGAGTACTTCTCTAGATGCTTTCTGTAATCAGAGGGACAGCTGCAAATAGTTTCTCCCATCTTCAGCATGGCTACAGGTGACTAGCTTGGGCAAAAGGCCCAACTTTAAACAGCTGGAGTTCATAGAGGTGGATTTCCAATCAGGTATGGGAGCAGTTTTACTGTTGAAAAACAACCCTGGCCTGTCAGATGGACAAGCAGAGCAGCAGGCTGCTCTGCAGGCTGCACACAGGACTTTCGGCACCTCCACTCCACTACCTGGCTTTGGCCACTGCAGGGCTGGCTCTTGTAGTCTGAGCCAACTCAAGTATGCTGCATAAAAATGTCTCCCATATAAGCAAAAAACCAACTTCAACGAGTCTGAAAAGTATGCGATATCAAGGTTTCCCTTCTACAAAGTAACTCCTATAAAGGACAACTTAGGGGGTTGCAGTTTTCTTCTCTTGGGTAAACTTCCCATTCTTCTCTTGAACAGCTTATACTTCTGCTTCATCGTTAGGATGTTGAAGACTTTCATTTAGAGCTAGTTGATGAAGTTGTTAGGCACCACAGATACCCCTCACTTCAGCTGCAATCACGAGATAAGCATCAAAAAAAAGCTTCAAAAGTCTTATCTTCTTCATTTGTACACACTGACAATGATCTATCCGTGCAAGAATAAATTCCTTGTTCCAAGGACGTGCATTAGAATTCAGTTCTCAAAGGGGACATAACGGAGGATTTAGCATGCAAAGGATACATGTTCTTTAAAGGCTATACGTCAAATTGCAAGATGAAAAATAGACTTGTCAAAATTAAGTCTGGCAGAAATCACCGTAACATCTCCTGTGTTCCAATGGACATAATATTCTTCATTATGTAGTCACATAGTAATTTTTCTGGGCAACCTGGAGACTTCTCTGGAGTCTAATTAGATTGCAAATGTGATTTTAAAAAAGCAATTAAACCATTATTTTAAAATTACATTTACTGCTGATGCAAAGTGCTAGATTATGAGTACTGGCTGGCAGTTTCTTCACATCTACAGGTCAGTAGTTTTTTGCATGCATGTAAGCGAGGAGAACAATTAGAGTCCATCCTCATGCGTAATTTTGGCCTTTAGGTTGAATCTGTCAGTGAAAAGTGAATGAGAGCAAGAACAAGATCTAAACACATAGGTCACAGAACACTGATAATGCATTTTTATCACCTGCAACCCAAACTAGATACAAAACTGGCCAGGTGCATTTCACTAATTCCTTATGTCATCTATGGCAAGAGAAGAATAAAAAAAAAAAAAAGAGTTCAAAATTATTAATCTGTGATTCTACAGAAAATGATCCAACTATTAGAAGTTTTTTAAACCTTGCAAATCCTTTTTTTTTTTTCCCCCCAAGATATTTTTCATTCCCTAATTCTGTCCTATCCTGACTTTTTGCATTTCAGTGATGCTAAAAGATAATCTCAGGGCATGAGCTCTTAGTCTACAAAGGATCAAGAGCCACAAAATTATATAAAGAAAAAAGGCAGGAGAGAGAAGTATCCTTATAGAATCAGATTCTCAAAGCTAATAATTAAAAAGAGAAGTGGAGGAGGGAGATCAGAGAGCTTTGAGAGGATTTATTTTGCTTGCTCTCCTCCCTCTACCTCTTCCCCAGCTGCAGCTTCCCGAGAAATGTTCAAAGTTTGTACCTTCCCTGTGGCTCTTCTGAAGATCCAATCTCCAGACGGGGAGTTTCAGGAAGGTCACCTATGAAGGGGATCTTTGCCACTCAAAATCCAGAAGTTCAGCATTTGAACCACGTAGTATTATCATTTTTAAAGGCAATTAGAAACAATACACTCTCCTAGTTCTTTGCTTCGTCCTGTGAAACCAAATATCTAACTTTTGCTTTGCTGTTCTGCATGCTGCTGTTGCCAGTATCATTAACCTATTTATTCAGCCTGATGCACCTCAATGTTGTGCAAAATGTGGTGGTGACTTTGTACTTCACTCGCAGTGCTGCTGCTGCTGCCCTTGCTGTAAGTTGGGGCAGTGTCCCTGTCCAAGCAGAGGCCTAAAGAGCTCTTCCTTTCCTGGGCAAAAAATCCCAGGTGTCCCAAAGGCAACGCATGTTTTGGTGGTTTCCATCCAAAATCATTGGATGCAAAGCCAGCCACCGGAGATGCTTATGGATCCCTACAGCTACGTTACACTGACTTTAGACCTGCCACTCCTTTCATCTCCCTCCCTGGAGAGGGAAGAACCTGTAGGTTCCTGTTTTGCTGCTTTTTAAGGGAAAAAAAAAAGACCAGAAGTTACCAAGAGTATTCAGGACTGTTAGGGGATGTGTACAAAAATGAAGGGAGGAAGAAAAATGCTTATGCTTTCTCTAATTAAAAGTGTTGTAGAAATAAAACTTCCCCAAGAGAGAATATTCTGTAAACAAGTCATCGTGTGGTCTCTGTGACCTTTATCTGAAACAACTGGAGCCAGTCCTATCAGATACAGAACGCTGGAATAAATGGACTTTGGATCTGATTTGGTCTGGTGGTTCCTAAATTGTTGTATTCCCCTTCCAAGTGATTAATTTGTTTCGTAAAAGCTTGTGATAATGCTCACATTGAGAGGTTACCCAGTACACACAGTACTGACATTTTTGGTTGACATTTGCTTCTCAAAATTCTCCTGAACTTCAGCAATCACCACTGAAATATCTGTTACATGGAATGTAACTGTAAGTCCTGAATCTAATCAACTTCCTCCATACAAAACGCTTAGCTGAGAAAGTAAGATGATTTCACGGAAAAACACATTAAAATATATGTTATAAAGAAGAGTGCTGTCAATTAACCACATATTTTGTTTTACTTATTTAAGATTATTTTAGTAGGTCAGAATTTTAAATAGGGAAACATTTCTGATTCAGCCTGCTTTGGGTTTCCAGCTCTAACACTGTACTGAGGACTAGAAAATGAAACCAACTAACTTCAGAAAAGTAAAAACAGAAACATGAAAAATAATGAAATTTTATTTAAAAAACTTTTCCATTATTATTATTATTACTTACTGCAAAGGTGGTAATGATGATGCATATGAAGGTAGTTCTTACAACCAATCAGGTAAATGGTTAAACTACATGTACCACTTGTGAGGAAGAGGATGAAGACAGAAGTAGCAGAGGAGATGGGGCAAAGGCAGCTCTCCTGGGCATGGCCTCCCTTTCTTCCCCCTCTAACCTCTTTTCATAGTAAAACAGCCTCAGGAAAAAGAAGACGAACTGATTTATATCAGAAACGTTATCTCAGTGCTGCCAAACTCATGCATTAAATAATGGTGTATCAAAGTTTATCATGACTTAAAAGCCATAATAACAGCTATGATAAACTGTGGATCTTCTGTTTTCTCATTTTTGGTCTTTCACAGCTCATGATTTTCTGCTCTTTCTGCAATCAACAGGACTGGACTCTTCCACTTAAACAAGAGGGGGATTTTCACTTTTTCATGACTCATAACAAAATTACCTAACGGTTTAATTTGGACTCATGAGAGAAATACAGGGAAAGGACTTCCAACCACCTGCTTTTGTTCAGCAACTACATAAAAAATATCCAGTGTTCTTCTCTCTTGCAGTTACAAAGCGAAGTCGAAGGCTGCTATTGCAAGCTACAACAGCCCTCCGTTGTGCCCCATGCGCCTCCGCACCCTGCCCCAGAGATGCTAATGTGAAATCGGAGAAAACAGAGGGTGATGCAGTGAAAAAATGGTAGTAAAGCCAGGCATAGACCATCCTACTGAGGCAGAAAATAACCACAAAACTTTTAAAGCTCTCCATGGTTTCATTTATTTACAACCATCATTTATTGTCATTTGTACAGAGTCATAAAACCTAACACACTAAAAACTCCTCCAGTGTCTCGCTCCTCTATGGTTTTGTTTTGCAATATATAGCACTACCTTAAAAATGGGTTTGGCCTACTTGAAATACCTAATCTTCACTTCGTGTTTTCTGAAGCCCTTGGTAGGCACCCAGTTTCAGAGAAGGGAGAGTGATGGGAAAGTGAAGGGAGAGAATTAGGGAGAGTGATGGGAAAGGGATCTGCCATGGCTGGCATGGGTAGCCACTGGGAATGGCATGTCACAAAACCACTCCCTGAACCACCCTAGATCAAATAGGTAAATGCTTTCTTAAAGCGTATTATTCCTCCATTTGACAGCAATATCTTAAATAAACCGGCAGGCTACAAATAGAGCCACTACAAGTAATCCGTGGGGTAATCCATAAACAGCCTGATCCAAATCCCCCTGAAATCCATCAAAAGATTTCCACCATCTTTAGCAGGCTTTGGATCAGACCCATTTTGCTGGAGGATGAACATCACTGAAGTTTCAAGTAAACTAAGCACAGGTGGCAACGCAACACCTTTCCTGTCGCTTTTAAGAAATCTTTGTCAAATATTTCCCTTAACAAAGCCTTAAAGAAGTAGGCATCTTCTTCCCAAAAAGCTAAAGATAAGTATTTCTAGAAACAGGCAGTATACATTTTAGTATTTATAGTTATGGGCACATCATTTATAGATTCAACATACAGAATATTAATCACATTCAGAGCTGTCTCTAAACAGAAATTAAAATGGCTATTATT